AAAAAAAAAAAAAAAAAAAAAAAAAAAAGAACGAAATAGACAAGCAAATAATAGTTGAAAATATTTTCAGCAATTAAAATGATTTTTAAATACAAATTTTTAGTACAGTTAAAAAATACTGTTGTTTAAATATGGTTCCAATATATCGGTTTAAAAAAATTTTACAAAAGTTCTTTTTTTATTTAACTTCAACACAGCTTAATGCACTATTCTTCTTCGGTATTTTGTTGATTGAGTTTCAAACTAAAAATTTTGAAAGTGCACTTTGAAAGACTGAAAAATAGACAAATAGACAAGCAATTAATAATTGAAAATATTTTCAGCAATTAACACCATCTTTAAATACAAATTTCTGGTACAGTTAAAAAATACTGCCGTTTAAATACGGTTCTAATATATCGGTTTAAAAAAATTTTACAAAAGTTCTTTTTTTATTTAACTTTAACACAGCTTAATGCACTATTCTTCTTCGGCATTTTGTTAATTGAGTTTCAAACTAAAAATTTTGAAAGTGCACTTTGAACAATTGAAAAGTTCACCCACTGATTTTGACGTCTTATTATAACTACCATAATTATCAAAGTGTTAAGTACGAAAATACAACGTATTTAGATTCACTGAACGATTAAAAAGAAGGCTACACTAATGTTTTTCAATTGTTCTTCTCTTTTATAACTGTGGTGTTTAACAAAGACATTCAAAAGAAATGGTTATAAAGTCGGGTAACCGAAGAAAAAGACGTATGCAGCTTCAATAGACGTTAAAATGTGTTCACTTATAGCTTACTGCAACAAGTAATTTGCACTACCGTCGACTGCATAGCTTAGATTACAGCCAAAAGAAACTGATACAAAGACATTTTTCCCACTTGGTAAGCCTAATTATCAGTTGAGATGATGGTTTACTAAAAAAAATACTGTCCTGACAGAAACGTTGTTCATCTAAATGACAGCAGTATTATACAACTAATATAGGAAAAATATATATGTTTCTTGAGAGTGGAATCGGGGAAGAATATTCTGTAATTGAAGCTTGCAACCAGCGCGCAGTAGTTAATCAATTTATTGCACTGACTATGAAGAAGCAAGACCAAGGAAAGCTACAACAACAAT